CCTGCGGGACCAGCATGTCTTTAAGGGTCCTAGCAATGAGTTTAGAGGCCGGGTCTTGTATACCTATAGGGCGGAGGTCCTTAGGCTGACGCATGGCCTTTCCCGGCTTGGGAAGCAGGGCTAGACTACAGTGCGTAATTTCTTCAGGCAGTTGGGATGGGCAGGAGCGCACCCCTTCGGAGTAGGCATCGGCAAGTCGGCACGCAAAGGGCTGTGCACAAGCCTTCCAGACTTCCGGGGGGACGCTATTAGCCGGTACTGCCTTTCGAGACTTAAGATTAAGAACCGCCGGAACAAGCATTTCTGCAGTGATACCGGGTGCGGGTGCAGAGGTGTTAAACCGAAAGGGTTCAGGGGCTTGGAAGGCTTGCTTGAAGTAATTGGCGATGGCCTGGAATTGTCCGTGCGGAGCAAGCATTGCACCATTTGCTGCACGAATCCTGACCCTTTCTCTACGCTGCCTGGGTGCAATGGCCCTGGTGATATTGTAAATTTCATTCATCTGATCTTTAGCAGCAGCCGAGGCCGCCCTATCAATGGTAGCGTAGAGACGTTCTTTTCTTGCAAGCACACTCTGTTTACGAAGTTTACGACTGGCAGCCTTGAACTCCGCAAACTGTCGCCAGGCCTTGAACAAACCCCCTCGGAGTGCCCTACGGCTTCTTCTCTTCCTCCAGTGCTTATATGCATTCCACATCTGGACAATGGCTCCATCAACAGCTGGAGTATGCGGGCTACGATTGGCTCGAGAAGTATCAGGAGGGAAGAATTTCCTACACTCTACGAGCACCTTTGCATTCAGTTGTGCAAGCACCGTCGGTGCAGGAAGTTCACAAAGCACCTGTTCAACAGACTTGCAGAACTCCTGCCACCTTGTGGGGTTCTCCTTTGGGCATGCACGCAAAGCTCGCAAAGAGTAGCTGTACCTGGGTCGCGGGGCCGGCCTCTGCAGAATTCAGGGCCCAATGAGAGGAATGCTGGCCTGAATGGGCCAGTGCTTCGGTCCGTGCCGCCATGGTGCCAGGTCAAGCGAAACAGGACCGGCAAGCCGCGCCTGAGGATCAGTGGTGCTTCTCCTACTGATAATGAAATCGATCTGCGTGCGTACTTCGCCATGATGAAAAGTGGAGCAGGCGCCAGGTCGTGAACTCTTCCATGTATTAAGCACACAAAGATCATGCTGTTGTAACAGATTGGCAATCTCATCATCCATGGTCCTTTGGCTATTCTGAACCCCAAAGCCAATATGCGCACCAAGTGGCTTTAGCACGGTGTTCAGGTCGCAACCCATCACCAGAACGTTGCGGCGTGGTAAAGATTCCAGCAGTCTGTTGAGCTTTTCCCAAAGTTGTAGACGTTTCTGTATTGTAGAATCCGTGGTACCAGTTTTCTCGACCCACTGATAGACCGAAACAACATCAATAGGAAAAGCTTTGCCATAAACCCTGACATGCAGAATCCTACCTGCAACCCACGTCTGATAATCAAGAGCTTCCTGCTGCACCAGTTTAGCTGAAACACAGATGCATACACCAGCGTATCTTGTGTCTGGCGAGGCTGAGGCAACAAAATGCCATCCATCCCGCGTCCAGTGCGTTTCGCCACGGCCAAGGCCATAATGGACTTCCTGGAGCAAAACGATATCCGCACATTGTTGCCTTTTGAGCCAGTCAACTAGGACGTCATAGAGATCCGAGCTCATTCCTCCGATATTGTAGGAGAGTACACGTACCCTCGGTCTTCTGCCCTGCAGAGTTGGGGCCGTACGAGCCGACGCTTGCCGTGTGTTCACCCCGTCCGCAGGTGCAACGCCCAAGGAATTGGCACTTCGCCAGACCCCCCTATACCAGGTCCCTCCATGCATGACTGCTCGCTGTCTTGCTCTCCTGAAGGCTCGCTTTCGAACCCAGCTATGGTGTGAATCTGAATTCGGTCCAGAAAAATTCACAGCCGCCGAAACAGCTGTTCCACGGGCAGCACTGGAAACCGCCCGAACCCTCGGGTCTGTGGGCCCAGCCATAATGCTGTAGATTCTACTTGAAGGCGCCCACCGCTGGAATTGGGACCAGCGCAGCTTGGCTTGCGACTCCAAAGGGAAAAAGCCAGAGCTTACCACACATAAAAGAGCAGCAAGTAGGTACCGCAGAAAAGCCATCATCAAGAGGCGGCCCTACACTCAGGCTGTCCCAAGCCGAGACCCTTAGTGTCGTAGACTGTAGTAGTAACTGCAGTTGTGATTGTTTTCCTCGTTGAAGCCGGAACAATGGCAGCAGCTGCAGCAATAGCGGCAGCCGCAACTTGGCAGGAATCGGTGCAGTGGTCGCTCAGCAGTGGTGGCATTGTCCATTGCGCACTGGCATCCTTTATGCCACGTAGGTTTTTGTCACACGGCTTCATGTTAAGGGGTGCAGAGCGGAGGCCCGGTGGTCTGAGGCTGGCTAGCTACCAGAGGCATGACCACCACGACCACCGGCGAGGTGCTCGTTCTTGCAACCATGTGGAAACTTCATAGACCGAGACATGCATGGCATGCCAGACCCTCTACACCCGAGCTTCAATCGAAGTGCCAAGCCTCGGCGAAGCGTTCCAGAAACCTGAGGTGCTGTGACTCAGGTTGCTCAGATCTGAGGGCCGTCGGAGTTGAATACCAGCATGTGTCAACGCTCAAAGGCCTCGCTTGTGTGACTCTGCACGTGCGGATCTCATAGAAAAACGAACCCTTCCCCTACCCGCAGGACCGCAACAGAACCTCACTCGCCTCACCCTGAACGTTGAGTCTGAAGAGTGTCGCAAGCCTAACACGGAGAAGCTCAGAAGCGGGACCCTCACCCCGCACGACGCCAGCTCACGCCCACGTCGGCGTTCTTGTCGAGGTAGAGGAGATCCTGCAGACTCTGCAACCCGTCAGATCTCGGAAATTGCGCTGGGCGGCTCTCATGGGCTGGGTGAACAATCAGGTTCGCACGCCGTCCCTGAGTGCTAGGGCCGCTAGGGTTTGGCGCTCTTGTTGGTAAGGGCTTCTAGTGAAGGCTCTGGAAAATAAAATCTTGAAATGAAGGCATGTTGGGACTCCCGCCTCGGTCGCTGCATCTGGGCACTGCAGGCGCACAGCCTCGCAGGAATGAGCTCTGGCATACAATCTGCAGGCTCCCGTCTTTGTGTTCCTTTCAGATGCTATCCGAAAAACGCATTAGTCTCTTTTAAGTACAACCCAAATCTGCAGGGAAATCATAGCTGGCTGGACCCGAGGCGGCAAGCCCTACAGTGTGCAATTCATCATGAGGAGAGTCGCGGACATGTTTTTGCAAAAAGCTGCATCACAACATCCCCGGTTGAGATATCATCAGAAAAGGCACCACCAACGTGACGTCGTCAATAGGACGCTCTCCACTGACGCACGGAGTGGCAGGATGGTCTCATCGTGCCACTGGCAAGTTCTTCAGCGGATGGGATGTGCAGAGTTTGGAAGGATTCGAAGGGATGCCTGTCCCACCCCATCACAATGGCGGGTTCACGGCATGCTGAAGCTTGGAATCTCATTCCCTGAGGCTACCTGATGTCTGAATTGAGAGCCCGGAAACATTCCAAGCACCCGGCCAAGACGGAATGCTTCAGCCGGAAGAGCCACCTTCCAACGCGAGCGCCGAGCTCGAAGTTCGAGGCTCGCCCACGTTTTGGGGGCTTTGGCTTTCTGCTTTGCTAGGACAATCGAGGGCAAATCACACATGTCTGCTTCTGAAACCATGTATCTCTAGTTGGTGTTTATTTCTGTCTGGCGCCGGAGTTCCTGTCGCGTCCTAGAAGCTTTGAATCCCGTAGTTCCGGAATCTACGGCGAAACCCTGCAACGTGTCACAGGTCAGCTGGGCCCCGAGCCCCCAGAAACCCAGCCGCGCCGGCCGGCAGTGCTCAGCAACCTGAGTACTGACAAACGTCCAGCATGGAATGCTGTAACCTCCAGTTTTGGATTCTTCGAGCGGGGTGCTACCGCTTCGCTTAGTTTATATTGGTATTTATCGTGTGTGCTTTGGGCTCGGATTCGGATCTGCAGAAACATCGAGAGCACGCCGAAGCCTCCGGGCCCCGAACGCCCTTCACGCGGCAGGTCGAAGACCAGGGTCCCGGAACGAAGGCTGCACAGAGCAGAGCAGAGCAGAGCAGAGCAGGGTTCAGGGTTTAGAGTTTGGGTTTTAGGGTAGTGCGTCAGGGCCTAACGGGGTTGGCTGCAACATAAGACCACAGTTCCTTCTCTGGCGGAACTGTTTTTGACTCCGCCGCAAATCTTTCGGACACCACGTATCAAGACTTTCTTGGACAACGCTGCGAAGCGGAAGTCGTCCTCAAGTCTTTCGTAGCTTCGCAAGCCACCTATTCGGAAACCCAAATGCATCCAAATTCACACGGTTTAGGGCTTACGGTTTAGGGCAGCTGCGCCTGTGCCCTGCTGGCCGAGGTCCGTACCAAGGTCTTCGCTGAGGCTGCGGTGCAGGTCTGACCTCGATTCTGTACTGCTACGTGGCCGAAGAGGGTTAGGGCCTAGGGCCTAGGGTTTAGGGAGTTTAGGGGTTCTGGGCATCCAAATACACAGTTTATGTATCCGAAGGCATCCCAGCATGCGCATCCCTGCCTACACCTCATGCGCTCGTGCCCGTGATCCACCAACCTGCACTCCTGAGCTCTTCCCGCTGTCGAGCTGGAACTCAGACACCTTGTGAACTCTGCTCTGAAACCCGTGAACCCTTGAATTCTGGTCCCTGCACTGGGCCCAGAGCACCGTGTATGGCTCTGGCGGAGCCGCACCTCGGGTTTGGGCTTGAGGGTCGTGGGACGAATCAAGACTCAAGACTGCGAAGACAATCTGAAGATCCAGACACATAGAGTACTCAGTAGAGAGATGCCCTTATAGCGACCACATAGCTCTACTACCCTAAAAATCCTAAACCCTGAACCCTTGTGGGCCGTATACCATTAATCGAAGCTGAGATTGACTGAGGCCTTGGCGGAGCAGAGCCACACCCCACACCCGCCTGACATCCTGGAGGAATCACGGGCTTCTCATGGCTGGGTTTCAAATCAAAATGCCCGGCTTCGGGTTTAGGTTCAGGATTGAACACCCGAATTGTGAGCGACGGGCCTCGTCTGCAGACGGAAATAACCGGGCCCTGGCAAGGAAGGACACTGCAGCAGACAGCAACGCAGCATGGGAAACAAGCACGACCGAGCAGAAACTACGACGCAAATCTGCTCTTTGACATCTCGCCTCAGGGCCTTCGGCCAACTTGCACGGCAGAAAAGTGCAGGCGCCACGCCCGCCTGCCTTCAAGGGGACTTGTGGGCTTTGATTCCCGGCACCCTCGTTGTCTGGCAGGGTACCCTGGCTCGTGTCATCAACCCAAACTGTCACAAAACACTCTAAAGTGAAGCCTTCGTGAAGTCTGCACCAAGCCTACCTCGCACGACGCCAGCACCCTTGACCCATTTCGACGCGAGACCTGGATACCTGCGAAAGCAGCGCCTTAAGACGAAGAGCTCACGGCAGTCGCCATTCAGGCGCAAGCGCAAGAAACCTCGGGAAACGACCGAGGCAACCCCTCCAGGCGGATCTCGAGTGTGAGCCCGAACATCTCAACCTCGAAAGGCTGTGTCTAGCAATGCCAAGAAACTGCGTGACGCGGAGGTCACAGGGCCCAGGGGAAAGTATTCCGTAACCTCGCTCGGCCCGGAACAAACTCGTCAGTAATGCGTCGGACAGGCGAACAAGAAATCAGTGCAGCACCAACACGGACAAGAAACTGCGAGTCGTTTAGAAAGTTTTTTGAAGACACCCGCTCCAACACAAGTTCAATGCAAAGCGAGCTGAAGCAATGCCGTAGTGCAAACCTCGCCAGCTCAGGCAAGTTCCTCCGCGATGTTAGCAGCTGGGCCTTGACCTGCACAACTTGCGCAACATGTTGCCAACCCTAGATGCCTGTAGCAAAGTCTGATCCGTGAATTCCCGCACTCACGTCAGAATAGCATGCCAGCCATATGAAGCCACGGCCTTGTAAGTTGCTTGCGGCAGCCGGCGCCATGCTCTTGGCAATTTGGTTCAATGACGAAGCTCAAAACTCTGACTCGCCCAAATAAAGAGAGTTGCAAATCCAACCAAACAACCCCACTATTAATAAAAAATGTCACTGAACGTAGGCCTGTAAGGCTTTTCTGGTTTAGGTGTCTTTTAGGTTTAGGGTTTAGGTGTCTTTAATGGTGAGTTCTTGCCGTATGAAGGTTTCTTATGTGGGCGATCTTACTACTTTGGGTTTTGGGTTGTGGATTTGCCATTGGTGGGCTGCCTTGGTTTTGTATCCGATTAGGAGCCAATGCCCTACGTTTGAAGCTAAACTGAAATGCTGTATGTTCTCACATGCAGCCGGTGCTCGTGCTGGAGGTGATGGTATCCATGGCATCATCATGGGCTCACGATGCTTCCTGGAGCTGGGCCTGGTGTAGGCGATGTGGCAGTGGTTGTGGCGGGTGGCGGGTGGCGGCGGCGCGGCGAAAAACGGTGACGACGAGATGGAGATGGTGATGGTGGAAGGATCTTCCCGGCTGCAAGAGAGCACTGACTCCCTTTTTGACGCGAATCCTACGAAGGTGGGGTTGTCCGTACCTTGACTCTCTCAGAGCTGCCACCTCCATGTTCAACTACAGCATTTTTCCCTAACTCCCAGAGGCTGAAGGCCAAGGCCATAGTGCCAGGGTCTACGTTAACTTATGTGCTTGCTGCAGAGCTTGCTGCCACGTTCTTTCGTTCCATTACTCCGCCAATGTGTTCCTCTACCAACCTCACCCCCGTCGACCTGACCCCAGAACACGAACCTGTAATGAATGCCGAAACCCAATATCCATAGGAAGACCCCTCGGGCCACCGTCCCGTAGGGCAGCAGCGCGTCGGCGAT